AGTACTTAAGCATGCGTATTAGGGCACTTGATCCTGCAAAAGCCAGAGTTCCTTTGATGAATATGTTTTGATGACTGAACCAGAGAAGAGTGCAAAAATATTGAAATCTCAAAAGTCCTGAATTAGCCATGGAAAAAGTCCTCAAGCAACAATATATAAGATATTGGTGTTTAAATACTATAATTACAGGTACAATCACTTTAGAATACCATTAAAAACTAGCACAACACGTTATGCTTTTCATGTTACATTACAGCACTATCTGTTCGGACAGTTAGAAATGCACCATAATATTAGAAACAATGGAATAATTCAGCATTATTATCCTTTTTACAAAGATTAAGCAGTCGTAAAGTAGAGCAACACTGCTATCACGCATACCATAAAAAAAAAAAAAAAAAAAAAAAAACCACCCCTTGAAATCCAGTAGATTTTTTTTTTTTTTTTAATACATCAAATCTAGTAGATTTATTTCATACTTCAAGCACTCTTAAAATTTCATGTACGCCAAATGCAGATGTCATTCCACTTTTCTATATAAGTGGACAAACTCTGTCCACAATCGATTCAAGAACTGATCTAATCTAGATGCAGATGACATGTCTTAAACAAAACATTGGAGTGAATTATACATTAAGGATGAATTCATCTCTCAAAGCACCTGTGGTTATTGCTGTTTCAACAGCTACATTTCCAAATATTGGAGTGAATTATCTCGCCAAATATAGTGCTTATGAGCAAAGATCTAACAGGTCGAACTTCAGAGAATGCATATATTGCATATATTATGCAATTAATTAATCAAATGCATATATTAAGATTCAATGAATCACAAATCAAAGAAGGGACAAAAGTGGATAACGCAACAGAAGGACGAAGGACAGCCAAATCTTCAAATCATTTAAAACTCCCAAATCGGCAGAATGCGCGAAGCTTTGCAGTGAGCTTGCTAAAAAACAGTAAGAGATATGAATATAAAATTATTAACGAAGACTCGTTTACAAGCTTAAATTATTGGGTTGAATTAGTTGCACCATATATATTAAAGCTCGTGATTAAGTGATTACGAGTTCGAACTTCATCGCATCAGGTTCTCAAATAAAATTAAAAAAGTAAGTTAAATTCACACAAGGTTAAGAAAAAAACCTGTACGATTATCCATTCTTCAAACTTAAAAATAAAAACAAATATTTTATTAAATAGGATAGAGTTAACAACACAATTACCTCCTGCCTGCCAAGGTTATGGGTTACTTCCTCTAGTCGAGTGGGGTTTGAATAGCCTAATTGTAACAACAGTTATAAGGACGACACACAAAGAACTCGACAATATGGAAGGGACAAGAAGCTGAAGAGAGTGTCAACGAAGTCCTTGGTTCCTTCCTCAGCAACAACTTCGTTGCTTTCTTTGTCCACCAACACTTTGATCGGAATCATTCTTTCATCTTCTTGTTGCTGTTGCTGTTGCTATTGTTGGGATGCCATGGCACATTCCAAACCAAAAAATGGTGCAACAACAAGGAATTCGAGTTTGGTTCAGTAGCCATTAATATCAAGAGCTCCTTGGTGAATCGAAAAGATTTGTTGCTTAAGTTGAAAAATGCTAGGACCATTAGCCTTATGAAATCTGGTTCGTAAATCATTCCAAAGATCATAGGCATTAGCATAGTAGTCATCGGCGTTATTGCGCCGCAAGCCGCGCCAGTTGCACTTTGCGAAGCTTCACCGCAACCATCCACGTTTTTTGTATCCCAAGGTTCTTAACATGGTATCAGAGTCTCGCCGCCCCCCACTTTCTCTTGTGGACTTTCTTAGCACAGGTAAGCTGGTGTTGCATCTTCCACTCTTCAAGCCAAATGGGCTCTCGTGTGAGGGGGCGTGTTGAGATATATAGTCCCACATTGGTTGTATGTGCAACTAATGTGGAGTTTATAAGGCATTGGACACTCTCACCCTTAGAGCTAGCTTTTGAGGAGGTGGTGTATCCCAAGGTTCTTTATAGCACCAAATCGCAATAGCCGCTGCTTGCCGCAACAATGTCTTTTTATAGTTTTAACCCTATATTTGTGCATTTCTGCCTTTCTGTTGTGCGTCTCTACTCTGCCTCTCTTGCTCTCTTTATCTTTAACCCTATATTTATCTTTATATTTTTTTATTATTTGTATTTTTTTAGGTGTTATTATTTTTTAAATAATTTATTATGTTATATATATATATATATATATATATATATATATATATTTTAATATATATTTTTTCTGCTATTTCCGCAACCGCAACAACGCTATAGCAGTTTTGAGAGTTGGCCGCATCAGGCAGCAATCCGCATTTGATAACTATGGACAATAGGAAAATACATAAGATTATCAACAATATCCTTTGAAACAGAGTTAAGCAGTCAAGATATCGCTGTGGAATTGCAACAATTCCTTTCTCCAAAAATAAGAGCATCAAAGGAGGGACGAGGACAAGATCCATCCACAAAACAAGATTTTTTTTCTTGGCAGTCAAGGGCAGGCAATAAGCATAGCCCGACTTCAAGAGTTGAAATTAGTTCCAGTAAGAATGTTAGTAACCAAGACGATGCCTAGAGGTGGCAAAACGGACCGACCCGTCCCGACCTGCCATTTGATGGTGGGTTGGAAACATCAACCCAACCCATTTTGAGGTGGGTTGGTGGGTCAACTCGCCTAAAAAACAAAAAATAATTAAAAATTAATAATAAATTATATTTTATTAATTTTATAATATTACTTATTTTTATTTCACATTTCCCTTAATTTTTTTCAATCTCAAGCCTAAATATACGATAATATTCAGTCAGATATTTTTTAAAAACTTAATTTTGCCTCTATATATGGATAATTTTTGTCATAAGTAAAGTTTTTTTTCTTTATTTTTCTAGGGGAGTACTAAAATAAAAAAAATGTATATCACAAAAGTTTAGTGATAAATAAAATACTACTTAATAATAATAATAATAATAATAAAAAAGTTGACTCGTAGGCCAACCCGACCCGATCCGCCACCAACCCATTTTAACCCATTACTAAACGGGGCGGGTTGAGGTGGGTTGGTGGGTTGAAAAGTGTAACCCAACCCGTCCCGTTTTGGCAGGTTAACCCGTCAGTTCAACTCATATTGCCACCTCTAAGTCGATGCCAAAATAATCACAACTGTGAAGAAAATAAGGGCTAGTAAAATCCTCCATAGGAATAGGGGAGTTAATATAGGTGGAATCCAAATTGGAGGAACGGTTGCTATTGCCACAAGCCATGAAGAAGGCAAAGGCTTAAGGAGATCATCCGATACCATGTTAGAATATACACACCAGAAGAACAAAAAAGTAAAACTGAATATTTGTTACATTTATGAGTAACACCACTGTATAGGAGGTTTGCATCTATATATCCCATCAATTGCCAAAGTTTGTTATAACAAACAATGAGGTTGCAATGCCAATAATAAAAAAATAAAAAAAGAGAGATTTCTATAAAAAATACATGTATTAATAGTATATAATATAAATGACAAATCTCGATGCACAAGATTTTTCGAATTACAAGGGTATGGGTGAGGGTCAACTGTATACAGTTTTATCCTTGCATTTTGACAAATAGACTATTTCTCAAACTCGAACCCGTGACCTTAAGATCACAAAGAATAACTTACTGCTCCTCCAAGGCTCAGCCTTCTAATTAAAATATGTAATATGAACAATCAAAAATGCATTGCCATTAAGCCAAACCCATTTGCCTATTCATATCAAGACCGTCTGATAATCAATGAACCCAAACATAATCAGGCGTTTCTCTTGATCAACCCTGCTAATTTCTCTCTCCAGCAGAGACACTTGAGCTTTTGGAACATTTCCCCCGCAAATTTACTAAATTAAATAAACTAGTTGCTTATGCTGTATACCTGATTTCAATTATCACTTGTTCATGATTCCATATGAATGGTGCATAATACTACTTATATTTAAACCCACTTTTTCAAGTAACAAAGATATCTAAATAAACCCTTAATTATCAAGTTTCATAGCTCAAAATCTTATATACGGAGCTAATTTTATCCGTTCTATCATCAGAACATAAAAACTGGTGAACCCATATACCTTTCCTAATGTTTTTTCTCCCTCTCAGATCACTCAAAAAGCTACTTCATAAAAAACCCGTATTCTGTTCAAAGTAATTGAATTAATCATTCAGTTATTTCATAGAGCATTCAAGCATTTTTTTTCCAGTAGTGTTGTAAGTCCTGCTAAATGTGTTCTACCAAGTAAAGACTAGCTAAAGAATTCTGCCTAAGATGTCTCCACTTTGCAGAATAAGCAACTTAATGATATGTATATAGTAACAGAAGATACAAGCTGGAGAATGATAGCAATAACAAGAAGCAAAGGTGGTGTTTATATTCATTATTATAGTTATGAAGTATTTCATTACTTAAGTAAGTCCATCGAACTAAATAGAAGAACCTAAAACTAGTAAGTAGTAATAATAGATAAAGGCAAATCACAAAGAAATCATATTGCAACCAAGGTCCAAGATCTTCTTGGTTATTATTGAAAACACAGGTGGGAACAGCAACTGATCCAGAATTCAGGTTTCTAGTTTAGGCTTCTTTACAAGATCATCAAGCCGACTAGTTTGTGAATACTTTGATGTCAAAGTTGAATCTTGTTTTGGCACATTCAAAAAGTCTTCCAGTCCATTAGTCAGGCTAAACTTTGATGTCAAGGAAGCTCCAAGAAGGCTTAAAGCCTGCACCACAAGGGAAGAAGTAAATGAGAAATAGGTATCACATTATGTTTTCAACTTGGGGAAAAAGAAAGGAAGAGGATCAAAGAGGTTAAAACAAAGTTTGATAAATTCAGTAACAACAGCCAACTTACCTCTGCCTCACTAATGCTTATCACCTTCACTTCAAGATCATCAAGGGGGAGACTTAATTCTTTTAAATAAGAAAGGCAGGAATTAGCAGACATGGATTTCACTTTCAGATCATCTCCTACAGCATATAATGCTGGTCTCTTCACAAACCCCACAACACCTTCTAACGATCTGTTGGGGGATCTTGGGTCCAGCGCGGTCACGGATCTTACATTTGAAATTGATGCCTGTGACTTGGAAATCACTCCCCCAGTTCTGACTACTTCTTCTGTTCTATAATAACCAGAAACTTGCCTTATTGTCCCTGTACCATAATAATACTTACGAGGTTTTATATCAGGAATGTTGAGAGGCTGATTTGGACAACCAAACTGTGGCACTACACCAGGATTAAGTAACACAGAACGTGAGTCAGTACACCATGAAGAGTCTAAGGTCTCCACACTCTTGTACAGATTATCAATGCATCCAACAAAAGAGTGGCAACCCAAAAGTTTTACAATGGACCCCAATGGAATGGTAAGGAAGCTAAACATGAAGTCAACAAAATCTTCTTTGGCTTCTGCAAAAATTATCTTCTGTTGAGACTTACTTCGCACTAACTTGACATCCATTTTACTGTCATTAGAGGGAGGCTTCACTCTAATTGCGGATGCAAACTGGTTTGGTGGATTATCTTTCTTCTTAGAGTTACTTGCCAATATTGTATTCGTCAGAGGCTCATGAGAGGTTAAGGTATACTTGAGAAGATTCAAAATCTATACATAAGAATGAAATAGAAGGGTTTTCTTAGTAAAAAATAACAAACAAACCAAACGAAAATAACTTTTTTTTTTTTTTGTGTTGAAAGAAAATATATTTCACAAACAAGATGAAATTACATAATAGAAACACAAGATATTAAACTAAACCAAGCAACAGGAATAACATATAACAAAGACCAATGAAGTAATCCACCATAACATCAAGAACTAGCCAAAATTGAGAATACTAATTAACCAATATTTGTCAATCTCCTCATTAGCATATCAATAAATTTATCAGAAAACACGCACCCTCCCAGGAGTCCTTTTAAGCTTAAAACATGAACAATATTTAGGCACAAAGGTACCTTGTGTTGAAATTCAGTTGTTATTAGAATAAGAGACTGATTAAATTCTGATACTACGTCAAATACCAAATATCCTAATATCTCGAGTTTAAAGTTAAAGGGTCAAGAATGGTCTGAAGATCAAATGCAAACTCAAAAAGTAAAACGGATTTTTTTTGTTAAACTAACAACATAATTACCTCCTGCTTGCCAAGGTTATGGGTTACTTCCTCTAATTGAGTGAGGTCTGAATAGCCTAATTGCAGCAACAGCTCAAAGGAGGTCACCAGAGTACTTGGTACAATCTTCAAATCATCAAAGACCAGAAACATTGACCCATTTTCTTGCACAAAAACTCCACCTTTGGCTTCCACACTATTCCCCTGACCTTTAGAATCCAAATTATGAGGTTGTTTTGTAATGGGTTTCCCACAAATGCAATCCAAGTTCGGAAAAATTGTAAACTTGTTACATGTATCACACACAAGAAGCTTTGTTGTGGGTTGTGTGTCATCAACGTTCAAGAACAGCTTCAAGCACAGTGCTTCACAGGGGTTTCTAGGACGCAGCAACATTTGCTGGCAAACTTTGTTCCAAACATCACTTGGTGCCAGATTTTGAACGCTTTCATAGAGATTGGTGATATTGCCAAGGAATGGTGACTGTGAGAGTTGTTGGTTGTTGGTGAGAAGGCGAATGATGGTGGCAAGTGGAAGGGACAAGAAACTGAAGAGAGTGTCAACGAAGTCCTTTGTTGCTTCAACAGCAACAACTTTGTTGTTTTCTTTGTCCACCAATACTTTGATCGGAATCGTTATTTCATCTTCTTGTTGCTGTTGTTGGGATGCCATGCCGAGTTCAAAACCCAAAAAAAAAAAAAAAAATCGGTGTAATAGGGAGAAAAATTTGCAAAACAAGCTTTTAGTCAAGAGTAACACGATGATGATTCTTCAAGTTTTCTTCATACATGAGGGAGGAATAATTAATATGAAATCAAAGGTTAAGCTCGTGGGATGCGAATTTATGCTACATTATATTTCTCTTAAATTTAAATGGGATTTAAGACAAATATTTACATGAACAGAGACGATTGTAAGGACCAATTCAATCCTCTTCTCTGAAGCTTCCACTGAACAAGCTCTCTTAACTATGGACTGCCTTAATCAATTCTGCAGGATGTCTAGCCAAAGTGTTAGCATCCCAAAATCTACAATTTACTTTTCCCCTAACACAAATGAAAGAATAGCTGATTCTATTATAGGTGTCACGGGTTACAAGAGAATGAACAACATTGGTAGATATCTTGTTCTTTTATTAATCAAGGCCGTGAAACGAAGAACAAGTACCGGAAGCATTGGTAGATATATTAGTTTTCTATGAAAACTGAGTTATCATTATTTGTTTAAGATTTATTTTTTATAAATGGATTTTTTAAGTTACTTTATTATTAGATGGACTAAAAAAATATTTTTAGATAAAGCAATTATTTGAACGTTTAAATTGTTAAGCATTTTTTTATATAAAATTACTAAAAAAAAACATGATAATAGTGTTGGTGGTAGTGGGTAGGGTTGGCAAAACGGGTCAACTCGGCTCGACCTGACCCAACCCGCGTGCAACCCGAAATAACAAGCCGGGTTAGAGTTGGTTCGAAAATATGGCTAGCAGGTTGGTTCAAAAATATGGCTCGTGGCCTCGTGGGTTGGCTCAAAATTTGGCTCTCGGGTAGGCTCAAAAATTGCTCACAGATTGACTTATTTTCATCCTATTTAAATGAACATGTAGTATTAATGCAACAACTATGTGACTTCCATCAGCTTAAACAATACAATTGTCAAACAGAATAGTTTATAAAAAAAGCAAAATAGAAAAGGGTTACAGAACGAGAAGCAAAAGCAAAATGTTCTAGTTTCGAATTTTCTTCACAAGAAATTTGCATCAACATCGAGAAATAATCAGAACCACTTGCTATCAAGCGGATAAGATATTTGAACTAAACAAAGTCAGCATAGCCTAACAATATAAAAATGGCAGCGATATGAGAAGATTAGGGAGTGAAGTTTAGAGAAGGAAGAAAGACGATGTCAACATGTGTTGGTTTTGTCCGTTTATGTATATTATATTTTTATTTTTTTAAAAAAAAAAAAAACTCTACCACTAGCTTACCTGTTTGACTCGCGGGTTGGCAGCTTATTTTTGCCTACTCAACCCGACTCATTTTTGACGGGTTACAAACTAACCTGACAGATTTGCTCATTTTTGCGAACCCCAATTATGGGTTTTGGGGGGGGGGGGGGTTGTAACAAAAATATATTTTGATTTTCTCTTCATCAAAAGTCACATCATTTTATGCACATATTAACTAAAAATACTTGTATCTTGAAAAAAAATTTGTTTCTTGATGGAAAAAAAACCTTCCAAATGAACTCTAATTTTTTTTAGAAGAATTGTTTTTAAAAGTTAAAATTATTTTTCATGTGGATGAATTATATAAAAAGTATATATAATAAAAAAATTTGTTTGGATGCTAAAATTAATAAGTTTTTTATTGCAAAAATAAGTATTTTTTATAAACAAATAAATTAAAAAAGGACATGTATTGGTAGTAGTGGTGATGCGGTTAAAGTAGTTGAAGTGATAGAGTCAGATTGGGAAAAAATGGATTTTAAGAAAAATATTTGGCTTCTTATTCTATTTTTCAAAAGCCATCATTTTAACTCTTTTTTTAATTTTTTTTTTGGAAGTTGCACCCAAATACACATATTAAATAAAAATTACTTTTATTTATTAAAAAAATTCCTTCTTGATGAATAAAAAACTCATCCAATGATAAATCTTCAAGTTTTCTTCATATGTAATACCAAAAAAAAAGGCGCCGAGAACGCCATTGTCAAGATACAAGCGTCGTTGACATTAGTGTCAAATTTTAAGTTTGACACCTCATCTGAGAGCCGTCAGATCAAAAAAGATAAACGACTCTGATTTATAAGCATATGACACCATTGATCTTTTTTTATCTAACGTCCCTCAGTGTCAAACTTTAAATTTGACACATGTGTCAAAGAATCCTACTCCATATATATATATATATATATATATATATATATATATATATATATATATATTAGCACCTGATAGAAAGAGAGATAACGAAAGAAAAGAAATAGAAATAGAAAGTAAGAGGAAAAGAAGAAAAAAGTCAGAAAGGAAAGAGAGAAACCGAAGGAAGGGAGAGGAGAAAAGAATAAGGAAACAGAACCGAGAGAAGAAAATAAAAAAAAATAAAAAAGGAAGGTAATATTGGGAGAAAACTTCATTCTCATTATTTTATTCTTTTCATTTATTTTATATGTAAAGTTGATATTTTGAAATTATTTCTTTAAAAGCTGTGAATGTGTCGTTACTCTGTCTAAATATTTTCTCATGAATCTTTTCTATTCTTTTGGTTTATCGGTCATCTTTGAGTTTGTGTATTTGAAGTCTTAAATCAAGACTATAGAATTAAGGAATTCCTTTGGTACCAATTGAATATTATGGAATATGTAATCTTTTACTGAATGGTTCTGATTTGACTGACCTACAAGGGGGTCAGAATGGTTATAGAGTAATGGACCTTTATCATGGCTTGAGCTCTGCTATACAGAACCTTTCACATACAGAGCCCACAAAATTTGGGCGCTCACAAAATGTGAGCATTAATCATTTCAGTTAAAGACTATATGTTCTTTTATATGTTTGTATGAAGAAACCCACAAAAGTTTGAGTATGTTTGTATGAAGAACCCACAAATGTTTGGGTAGAACTCACAGAGGTTTGGGTAGAACTCACAAAAATTTGGGTATGACTGATTAAAGAACCCACAAAGGTCTGAGCTTATATTTATTATTCATGATATAATTTTCTTATTAAAAACATATTTTGAGATAATGATATTTTTCACTAAAGAGACTGGAATGGTTATAGTTCGAAAATTCCAATATTATTGAGATTTATCTCATGTTTGTTTGTTTTATGCTAACCTTTCTCGAAAATAAGTATGCCAGTATGTGTAGCTTTAGAGTAGGAAGAAGCACTGTGGGCAAAGACTTCGGAGATTGTGCGGAGTTCAGTGGAATGACTGATAGAATAAAATATGTTTTTTTTTTTAATTTAGATTATGATGTAATCTAGGCTATTTCAGATGAAATAGTGAACTTGATTTCTGTATAATTAAATTCTTAGAAAATTTGATCATATGCCTTATTTTATATCCACTGCATTAGAATCTCATTATAATTCTTATTCTCTTATTTAAAATAAGATTTAAAAATTAATGTGATATCCTTTATGCTAGCAAATTATAGGGGATGTTACATCACACATGATAGAGGAGTAATTAATATGAAATCAAAGGTTAAGCTCATGGGATGCGAATTTACGCTACACTACTTTTCTCTTAAGTTTAGATAGGATTTAAGGCAAATATTTGTTGGATATATATATTAATAATATAGACCAATAGTATGTTCACATACAAGCCCAATAAGTAAGAGCATGGTTATTTGGATCCACATGGGCTAGAGCCTGATAGATATCAAAAATTGATAGCTATCTTGTATATTTTACTATTAAATTTCCCACTTTTTGAAATTATTTTTGTTACTTAAATTCAATTTTGCATTCAGGAGCACTTTTCTGTAAACATGGCCGGGGCAAATCTTGAAATAAGGAGCAAGGACGTGATTGAGTATAAAATGACTTAAATTAAATACTTTTTTGGCGTAATATGTTGTTTTATATTTCAGGAGCCCATCGACCAATTTGAGAAGCCCAATCAATAACCTAATGCAATTACTTTGGGTAAAGAAAATGAAAGCTAAAAAAGGGAACATGTAATGATTACTGACAAAGTGACAGGAAAGAGAGAGATAGAGAAGAAAACACCTACTATAAGCAACCAACAGCCAATGAAAACAATATCATCAGCTTTTGTAGTATCAAAACAACACACAAAATCAGAGAAAAGCAAAAGTAATAAGTAACCAGCAAAACGCAATCCTGACCGTTGGATGAAGATTAATGGCCAAGACAACACATATGAAAGATCTGAAGCCTATAAATAGGAAGGAAGGCCAACATTTAAATAGTCTTTGGATAGTTTCACCATCTTTTTCTTGGTGCTGCTCTCAGGCCATTTTCGTTTTTCTCTTTTCTTTCTCTTTGTTTTTCTGTTGCAATATTCTTTGCATAAGTTGAGTCTTTTTAGTAGGCAAGGGTGAAGTAGAAGTATCTCTCTTTGTCTTAAGTTGAACTTATTATGTAAGTCTATTTTCATTAATGGAATTTGTGTTGTTCCTTGCTTTTATTGTTCCTGGTGGTGGTATAATCAAGGGAAGAAAAAATAATCATATGGTAGTATCTCGGAGGGATGGTTAATACCCAGAACTAAAGAACCCTATTATGTGCAGACTGTTATGAAAACAACATCATCGGCGACCAACTGCAGAGAAGATATGGTAGCACAATCTCCCTTGAGTCTTAACTAATAGGACCCCCAAGGTGGTTTGGTGTAAAAGGCCTTTGGCTACAGATTGCTTTGGGTGTTAAAACTTGGTGATAGAGTGTGTAATAGCTAACAAATCAATTCTATTGGCCAGAGAAGGTATACTCTACGCACGTCTGCAGCATACCACAAAACACGAGGCTTCCCCTTTGTGCCCTACACTCAGACTGCAACTTGCCCCGTGTAGGTAATGCTATTACCACCACGCATATATATATCAACACCTCATGCTAACATCCATTTCCAAATCCTTCAAGTAATATCAATTCATAAATCAATTTCTAAAAACATACCATGCACATAACCATCCTCCCATGGAGTTTAGTGGAACAAACAAAGGATTAACCCAGAGAACACGAAGCTTACCTGTCAGCTAAGTCCTCCAACAACATGTGATGTCCAATGGGTCACCAAAGATATCACCAACACAAAGTCCAGCAAGGTCATAATCTATTTTCACAGCATACATACCATCAATAAACATGTACTAGCTCCTCAAGCCTAACGAGACTCTATTTCTTTTTCGTTTCGCATACTGCAGGCGTCTCCTGAAGCCCCAAGCACTAAATTTCATGGTTTTAGGCTTAGATTAATTCAACAGAAGTCCTTACAATTCAATTAAGGGTCCTATATAATTAAACTAGGTTCTATATAAGCAAAACACCATAAAAATCAAAAACTATAGAATATTCGGATATCAATATCCGGATATCCTCAACCCAATATCGGATATCATATTCAGATATTTCGCGACAAAAATGCAGAAATGCATTTTCGCGAAGATATCCCTTCAAGGTCTCATTTTTACACTAACAAGGTTCAAGTACACGTTTTTATGTGTTTTCAAGCAAGTAATCCGTTAGGTTATCATGTTTACTCATTATTCATACTCAAGACTCAACCTTTTCAAAGAAAGCCTTAGAGGAAAGGTTGGAATATATACCTAAAGCTCAACAACAGTGAAAAGAAGGGTCTTCAAGGTCACAAGTCCACACTTTGCTTCTGCCAAGCACTGTGCATGAAAATGAAGTGATGCAAATCACTCCACTCACCACCAAGAACCTCCAAGCAACTTGATGTTGGTTCCAACTCTCAAAACACACAAGAATCACACTTCCCACCCCAAGACAGCAACAAGAACACACCAAGGATAGATTTTTCTACCCCAAGATACTTGCTTTCAAGTGGCTAGAGGGATCAAGATGAAGGAAAATGAAAAAAAGTGAGTTCTTTGCTAACTCCCATGAAGAAAAATGCAATCTTTATTGGGAATGGAGAAGAGAGGTGTTCTAGGTTTAGAATGAGAGAGAGTTACATAGGTTTTATGGGGGAATAAGAGTATCAAGTGTGTCTTCGCTATTTAAGACACTGCTCACTTACGACACCCGATATTAGTTCTAATAACTCTTAATTATTTTTCCTCCAAACTTTAAAATATTAACTTAGCATATTTTCTAGGAATATTCATATTTTTATTTCTATTTTTTGGGTCATTTCGTCATTACTCATTTATACCACGAAATATACAGTATTCGCACTCTTTTTTCGAAAAGTGACTTGATATTAATAATTACGATTTCTTTATTATTATCCTATATTAATTATGGAATATTTCCTAAATTCATAATTAAACTATTAATTTTCCTAATTTAGCGGTGCGGGTCCTCGCAGTAGCAGTGGCGGCAGTGGTGGTGATGGCAGTGGCTGCGGCGATGGTGGTGGTTGGTGATGGTGGTGGTGGTGGTGGCGATGGCGATGACATGGTGATGGTAGTGGTATTGGTGACGGTGATGGCATGGTGGTGGTGGTGACGGTAGTGGCTGCGGTGGTGGCGATGGTTGTTGTGGTGATGGTGGTGACGGCAGTGGCTGCGACGATGGTAGTGGTGGTTGGTAACAGTGGTGGTGACGGTGGCATGGTGGTAGTGATAGTGGCGGTGGGTGAAGGTGGCGGTGACATCGTGGTGGTGGTGGTGAAATTTCAAATACTATAAATGTTTAGCATATCAGAATATCTGGGAGTGTCGAGGCGTTGGGGAGTGTTCGATACGACACATCTTTTGAAGTGTAGGTGCAGCGTAATCAAGAACAACTTCAAGCACAGTGCTTCACTGGGATTTTCCGGGATGCAACAACATTTCCTTGCAGACATCGTTCAAAAAATCATTTCGTGTGAGATTTTGGACGCTTTGGTAGAGATTGTTGATGTTGCAAAGGAATGGTAACTATGACAGTTGTTGGTTGTTGTTGAGAAGGCGAATGATGGTGGCAAGTAGCTGAAGAGAGTGTCAACGAAGTCCTTGGTTCCTTCCACAGCAACAACTTTGTTTCTTTCTTTGTCCACCAATACTTTAATCGGAATCGTTCTTTCATCTTCTCGTAGTTGTTGCTGTTGTTGGGATGCCATAGCACATTCCAAACCAAAAAATGGTGCAACAACAAGAATTTTGAGTTTGGTGTAGTAGCCATTAATATCAAGAGCACCTTGGTGAATAGAAGATATTTGCTGCTTAAGTTGAAAAATGCAAGGACCATTAGCCCTATGAAATATGGTTCGTAAATCATTCAAAAGATCATAGGCATTAGGAAAATACATAAGACTATCAGCAATATCCTTTAAAACAGAGTTAAGCATCCAAGATATCACTGTGGAATTGCAACAATTCCTTGCTCCAAAAAGAAGATCATCAAAGGAGGGACGAGGACAAGATCCATCCACAAAACATGATTTTTTTTTCTTGGCAGTCAAGGCAATAAGTATAGCCCGACTTCAAGAGTTGAAATTAGATCCAGTGAGAATGTGAGTAACCAAGTCGATGCCTAGATAATCACCACTGTGAAGAAAATAAGGGCTAGTAAAATCCTCCATAGGAATAGGGGAGTTATGGACAGAAGAATTAGAGGTGGAATCCAAATTGGAGAAACGGTATTGCCACGAGCCATGAAAAAGGCAAAGGCTAAAGGAGATCATCTGATACCATGTTAGAATATATACACCAGAAGAACAAAAAAGTAAAACTTAATATTTGTTTCATTTATGAGTAACACCACTGTATAGGAGGTTTGCATCTATATATCCCATCAATTGCCAAAGTTTGTTATAACAAACTATGAGGTTGCAATACCAATAATAAAAAAATAAGAAAAGAGAAATTTCTATAAAAAATACATGTATTAATAATATATTATATAAATGACAAATCTATGATGCACAAGGTTTTTCAAATTACAAGGATATGGGTGAGGGTCAACTGTATACAGTTTTTTTACCTTTGCATTTTGGCAAATAGACTGTTTTTCAAACTCAAAACCGTGACCTTTGGATCACAGAATAACTTACTGCTACTCCAAAGGCTCAGCCCTCTAATTAAAATATATAATATGACCAATCAAAAATGCATTGCCATTAAGCCAAACCCATTTGCCTATTCATATCAACAAGACCGTCTGATAATCAATGAACCGTAACATAATCAAGCGTTTCTCTTTATCAACCCTGCTAATTTCTATCTCCAGCAGACACACTTGAGCTATTGGAACATTTTCCCTGCAAATTTACTAAATTAAATAAACTAGTTGCTTATTCTGTATACATGATTCCAATTATCATTTGTTCATGATTCCATATGAATGGTGCATAATACTACTTATATTTAAACACACCTTTTCAAGTAACAAAGATATCTAAATAAACCCTTAATTATCAAGCTTCAGAGCTCAAAATCTTATCTACGGAGCTAATTTTATCCGTTCTATCATCAGAACATAAAAACTGGTGAACCCATATACCTTTCCTAATGTTTTTCCTCCCTCTCAGATCACTCAAAAAGCTACTTCATAAAAAACCCTTATTCTGTTCAAAGTAATGGAATTAATCATTCAGTTATTTCATAGAGCATTCAAGCATTTTTTTCCAGTAGTGTTGTAAGTCCTGCCAAATGTGTTCTACCAAGTAAAGACTAGCTAAAGAATTCTGCATACGATGTCTGCACTTTGCAGAATAAGCAACTTAATGATATGTATATACTATATAGTAACAGAAGATACAAGATGAAGAATGATAGCAATAACAAGAAGCAAAGGTGGTGTTTATATTCATTATTATAGTTATGAAGTATTTCATTACTTAAGTAAGTCCATCGAACTAATTAGAAGAACCTAAAACTAGTAAGTGGTAATAATAGGTAAAGGAAAATCACAAAGAAATCATATTGCAACCAAGGTCCAAGATCTTCTTGGTTATTGTTCAAAACAAAGGTGGGAACAGCAAGTGGTTAGAATTCAGGTTTCTAGTTTAGGCTTCTTTACAAGATCATCAAGCCGACTAGTTTGTGAATACTTTGATGTCAAAGTTGAATCTTGTTTTGGCACATTCAAAAAGTCTTCCAGTCCATTAGTCAGTGTAAACTTTGATGTCAAGGAAGCTCCAAGAAGGCTTAAAGCCTGCACCACAAGGGAAGAAGTAAATGAGAAATAGGTATCACATTATGTTTTCAACTTGGGGAAAAAGAAAGGAAGAGGATCAAAGAGGTTAAAACAAAGTTTGATAAATTCAGTAACAACAGCCAACTTACCTCTGCCTCACTAATGCTTATCACCTTCACTTCAAGATCATCAAGGGGGAGACTTAATTCTTTTAAATAAGAAAGGCAGGAATTAGCAGACATGGATTTCACTTTCAGATCATCTCCTACAGCATATAATGCTGGTCTCTTCACAAACCCCACAACACCTTCTAACGATCTGTTGGGGGATCTTGGGTCCAGCGCAGTCACGGATCTTACTTTTGAAATTGATGCCTGTGACTTGGAAATCACTCCCCCAGTTCTGACTACTTCTTCTGTTCTATAAGAATAACCAGGAACTTGCCTTATTGTCCCGGTACCATAATAATAGTTAGGAGGTTTTATATCAGGAATGTTGAGGGGCTGATTTGGACAACCAAACTGTGGTACTACACCAGGATTAAGTAACACAGAACGTGAGTCAGTACACCATGAAGAGTCTAAGGTCTCCACACTCTTGTACAGATTATCAATGCATCCAACAAAAGAGTGGCAACCCAAAAGTTTTACAATGGACCCCAATGGAATGGTGAGGAAGCTAAACATGAAGTCAACAAAATCTTCTTTGGCTTCTGCAAAAATTATCTTCTTTTGAGACTTACTTCGCACTATCTTGACATCCATTTTACTGTCACTGGAGGGAGGCTTCACTCTAATTGCGGATGCAAACTGGTTTGGTGGATTATCTTTCTTCTTAGAGTTACTTGCCAATATTGTATTCGTCAGAGGCTCATGAGAGGTTAAGGTATACTTGAGTAGATTTAAAATCTATACATAAGAATGAAACAGAAGGGTTTTCTTAGTAAAAAATAACAAACAAACCAAACGAAAATAACTGTTTTTTTTTGTGTTGAAAGAAAATATATTTCACAAACAAGATGAAATTACATAATAGAAACACAAGATATTAAACTAAACCAAGCAACAGGAATAACATATAACAAAGACCAATGAAGTAATCCACCATAACATCAAGAACTAGCCAAAATTAGTATTATTAACCAATATTTGTTAATCTGCTTATTAGCATATCAATAAATTTATCAGAAAACACGTACCCTCCCAAGAGTCCTTTTAAGCTTAAAACATGAACAATATTTAGGCACAAAGGTACCTTGTGTTGAAATTCAGTTGTTATTAGAATAAGAGACTGATTAAATTCTGACAATACGTCAAATACCAAGGGCCTGTTTGGAGCACCTGATAAAGAAAGATAGGATAGGATAACTTATCATATCCTACTTTTATCTCTTGTTTGGTGGGTCAATAGGATATGATTAACTTATTCTATTGTCTCACTTTATCCTATCCAATACATGATTTCTTATCCTATTGTCTACATAATCTTATCGGATTACTAATCAGGTGCTCATCAAACACGGAACATGATATCTACTTATCAGCCACATATCATATCCTACCCTTGTCAGCCCCGTATCATATCCTACCCTTATCCTATCCTGTCGACCAAACGACCTCAAATATCCTAATATCTTGAGTTTAAAGTTAAAGGGTCAAGAATGGTCTAAAGATCAAATGCAAACTCAAAAAGTAAAACGGATTTTTTTGTTAAATAACAACACAATTACCTCCTGCTTGCCAAGGTTATGGGTTACTTCCTCTAATTGAGTGATGTCTGAATAGCCTAATTGCAGCAACAGCTCAAAGGAGGTCACCAGAGAACTTGGTACAATCTTCAAATCATCAAAGACCAGAAACATTGACCCATTTTCTTGCACAAAAACTCCACCTTTGGCTTCCACACTATTCCCTTGACCTTCAGAATCCAAATTATGAGGTTGTTTTGTAATGGGTTTCCCACAAATGCAATCCAAGTTCGGAAAAGTTGTAAACTTGTTACATGTATCACACACAAGAAGCTTTTTTGTGGGTTCTGTGTCATCAACGTTCAAGAAGAGCTTCAAGCACAGTGATTCGCAGGGGTTTCTGGGACGCAGAAACATTTGCTGGCAAACATTGTTCCAAAAATCACTTGGTGCCAGATTTTGAACGCTTTCATAGAGATTGATGATATTGCCAAGGAATGGTGACTGTGAGAGTTGTTGATTGTTGTTGAGAAGGCGAATGATGGTGGCAAGTGGAAGGGACAAGAAGCTGGAGAGAGTGTCAACGAAGTCCTTTGTTGCTTCAACAGCAACAACTTTGTTGCTTTCTTTGTCCACCAATACTTTGATCGGAATCGTTCTTTCATTTTCTTGTTGCTGTTGTTGTGATGCCATGCCGAGTTCAAAACCCAAAAAAAAATGGTGGAATAGGGAGAAAACTGTACAAGAGGGGATATAAAGGAAGCAAAATTCAAAGGTAATTTGGATGGGCTTTTGAAGGAGAGAAACAACTGATTTTTTATGCATGGAGAACATGTGCCGCTTTGGATGGAATTAAAAAATAATAATAATATTTTTTGTTTGGTTTGTTTTTTATAAATGACTTTTTTTAAGTTACTTTATTATTAGATGGAGTAAAAAATTATTTTCAAATAAAATATTGTTTAAATTATTAAGCATTTTTTGTATAAAATTACTAAAATAATATGTGATAATAGTGTTGGTGGTGGAGTGGGAGTGGTTGGTGGGGTTATCACAAAAATAGATTTTTATTAAAATATTTGATTTTAGGCTTTTGATTTTCTCTTCATCAAAAGTCACATTTTATGCACATATTAAATAAAAATACTTGTATCTTGAAAAAAAAAATTGTTTCTTGATGGAAAAAAAACCCTTCCAAATGAATTTGGATTTTTTTTTAAGAAGAATTTTTTTAAAAGTTAAAATAACCTTTCGTTAGGATGAATTATATAAAAAGTATTTATAATAAAAGAAATTGTTTGGATGCTAAAACTAATAAGCTTTTTTTTATATAAAAAACTCCAAGTAGGGCATGTATTGATAGTAGTGGTGATGGGGTTAAACCGTTAAAGTAATTGGAGTGGTAGAGTCGGATTGGGAAAAAAAATGGATTTTAAGAAAAATATTTGGCTTTTTAATTATTTCTATTTTTCAAAAGCTATAATTATAACTCTCTTTTTTTTTAAAAAAAATCTTTTTTTGGAAGTTGCACCCAAATTACACATATTAAATAAAAATTAATTTTATTAATAAAAAAATTCCTTCTTGATTAAAAAAAAAAAAAAAAAAACTCATACAAAACAAGCTCTTAGTCAAGAGTAACACGATGATGATTCTTCAAGTTTTCTTCATACATGAAGGACGAATAATTAATATGAAATCAAAGGTTAAGCTAGTGGGATGTGAATTTTTTTTAAAAAATAATCTCAAGAGTATCCTCTAGTCGTAATCTAAGACTAATCCCTCACTCGAGTATTGTCGAAATCAAAGGTTAAGCTTCTGAAATTGTTTCTTCTAGTGGTTTTACTCACGCCCATTCTTTGGGAAGATATTTGGGTGAGATATGCTGCCTCATGGTTATGGAATGAGGAAGAAGTATATTCTGGTATTCTCGACAAGGTCAGGTGATCCTTAATTATTAGTTAATCCCTCCCTAAATTATATGCTGCCTAATAGTTAATCCCTCCCTAAAAGTAAAAAATATTTATCATAGCTAGTATTTCTTATTAGTTTTTATAATACTATACTTATAATTTTAAAATTTTATTTTTGCCTCTAAAAAATTCCGAGTGCGTCGCTGTTGTCTCGTGATCCTATCTTCATGTGGTTAACGTTGCAACGTGCATGGACGTCTTCTCACGCGAAAATATTCATAACATTGGGATGGATTCACCTTATTGCCCTATTTGTCAAAATTCAGAGGAGGATATTTTGCATTTCCTCCGTGACTGTGAGCAGTGGCGGAGCCACGTGTTGGCTGGGGTGACTTCGGTCCGGACTAAATTTTAACAAATTGTATTTATCATATATAATTATATAATTAATTATAATTTGGCCCTATCAAAAAAATAAAATATATTTGGTGAGAAATTTGAGTAAGTTGTATTAAGTTATGTATTCCATTTTCACTTATATAAAAAATTTTAAATATAGTTAATAAATTAAAAATTTTTTAATAAAATTATAACTCTTTTTGATATTGTCTGCTCAAGTATTTTGTATTTAATATAATTTAAATATATTATGATATAAACTAACTAAAATTAAGAAAAATAAATACACATATAATTTTTTGACCGGACTCCATGTGGACCCTGGCTCCGTCACTGACTGTGAGTCTGTGACTGCACACATGCGAACACCACATGGAGAATATGGTTTGCAGGTTCTATTCCATCTGCTTTTCTTCAACGGCCTTAAGCGTTGGATTGGAAAGATATTTTCATGGTCCCCTGTTGATTTCTTTGATCCTGGAGAAACTCTGAAATTCACTAATACATATGGCTAATTAGTATATTGTTAGACAAGTGAGAGAAATTAGGGACTGACTTGAAAGGTTGTTATAGCTTATATGGTTGTTATAATTGATAGGTGATAGAATTTTATTGTTAGATATTCTGTTGTGTGAGTGTGTGATGCAAAATGTGTATTTGCTTTGTGAGCATTTTTCTATTTTAGGAGGGAGATATCAAAATTAACAAAAATATAATTCACCACGCTTGACATATTTTTGCCTCGAAGACTTTGTATTGTACTATGATAATGATATTCCCTTAGGTAGTGTTTGGTTTAGGATTTTTCAAAATTATCCTAGGGAAGTGGAGGTGGCATTGTGATTTCTCCATGTTTGGTAGAAGGAAATCTTCAATTTTATCCATCAAACACATATGCCTAGCTAAATTGGATTGCATGTAAAAAATGGGATAATACACTGTTGAGAATCCATTTGAGAAGGTGGTATTTGTTCAGAAACCGAATAAATGAAAAAAAGGGAAGAAAATGCTGACAATAATACTCTTCTTCTGCGACCACATGTGAACAAAATATCTGTGGACTACCCATCCGAAGCTGTGTGACAAGCATCATATTCCATTTGTGGGTTGCAGAAGACATCACTGATCGCGCTAGTATTTGCGGTAAATATCACAATCTTCTTTGATGCTGATCTGAAACACCCAAGGTTGAAACCGAAACCTCGTTACGACCCATGAAACCCAGATGTGTCAAAGAAGAGTCCGTGAACAGACAAGGGCTTACTGTTGCTGGTTCCATTTGTGTAGCACGTTCCATTTCGAAGCACAAGTTGCTGGTTTCAACACAAGCGGCCGATTTGGTGAGGTACAGACAGATATATGGTCGAGGGAGGAGAGATATCTTGATATTCAGAAATTATAAAGGGGTTAATTTGGTAATTTTAATCCATTTCCCATCAATATTTTATCTTCAAACAAACATAAACTTATAAAAATCTACCCAATTTTTTCGGTAAAATTTTGGTCAACCAAACAACTTTTTTTTAATTTTCCTACCAAAATTTCTTTCCCACCATATTCCTACTAATCATACTTCCTCAGTAAAAAAAAATTTCTCCTCAACCAAACACCACCTTAGATTTATGGCCTCTTATAGAGGCTAATAAGTTGTGCTTGTGAATATTTAGACTGTTAGTTAGTTTTTTTTTTTTTTGGCTCAGCCCTTTAATTTACTAAAACAAAAAAATTATTTGTTTAAAATTTATAATATTTACAATTATATTTTAAATTAATATTAGTTATTCCGTCTTATTCTTATATCTTAACATTTTTATCAAGTAAAATAAAAGAGAATTTAATTAAATCTAATTAAAACTTTTAAAGAAATAATTATTTTCTTTATCGATAAAATTGATAGAAGTAACAGCATTTTAAAAAATGGGATAGTCATAATTTTGAGTTTGAGTTTTGATTTTCATATACAAATAAGAATTATTTTAAAATAGAGAAAATTAGAACTTTCACAAAAATTTATGAAAATATTGATATAATAAAATTTACGTAGATATATGTATTTTTTAACTTTTATTCTTTGTTTCGAAACATTTACTATTTCAAAAATCAAATCTTTCTTATTTTATTTGTTCGATTAAAAATTGTGAAATTATTATAAAAACGAAAAATAGTTAAAGTAAGAAAAGAAGAAAGAATATGGGAGTGAAAATAAAAGGGTTTGGGTGTTCGATATAAAAGGAGAATTAAATGATTTGGGTTAACGGTATTTACAAGAGGGGAGTTGGAGATTGAGTGGAGTAGTGCACCTACAAAAAATATTATAGCATCTGAAAAAATTAAAAATTAAATGACAATTGACTAGATGAGATGACTAAATAATGTGATATTTTTTATCCACATTATAAAATGAATGACAATTACACCAAATCTTTAATGCATCATTAAAGATTTATTGTAATTGGGAGGAATAACAACCCTCGATTTAAAATAATAAAAATTAACCGATGTTGTGGAATCCCTTGCATTATTTTATTTATTTAAAAAAATAAAAAAAATATCGATGGTCAATCCAAACGCGTAAATATTGATTAAACAAATATTAAAATGGTCAATGAGTCTTTCAATGCACATGTTGCGTTCTCATTTTTCCTATACGTATGCATCCTATGTTGCAATATCACTTTCCTTATACGCTACTTTTTATGGTGTTGGAATTTTTATTTTATTTTATGTTATAAGATTATGGTAATTAAAATTTCAATTTACTATTATAATTTTATAATTTTATAAATTTTTTTATTTCAAACGCTTTTAAATTTTTATAATTTTTTTACGTTACGATTTTACTTTTTACAATTTTTAATCTCTTTTTCAATTTTACGTAAACAGGATTGTGTACTCACTGTTGTTTACCTAATAAACAGAACCCCATCTCCTCTCTTTTCTTCCCAAACACCTTTTGAACTTCTATCTCACAAACCATCTTCCTATGATCATCTTCGGGTTTTTGGCTGCCTTTGTTACAGCTCCACTCTTCCTAAACTTCCCCACAAATTCCCTCCCCGTGCCTTACCTGCTATTTTCATCGGCTACCCACTAGGCTACAAAGGCTATAAACTTCTTGACTTGCAATATCATAAAACCTTCATTTCTCGTGATGTTGTTTTTTATGAAAATATCTTTCTCTTTGCCATGCAATCTTCTTCCTCCCTTTTTCCTACTGATTTTTTTTATTTACCTCATTCATCCCATCCAATTTCCCTACCTGATTTTTCAGAGGACACTTCTATTGTTCCTCAAAATACTCCCATTACTTCACGTCCTCAGAGAACTCGCCATCTTTCAGTCCACTTTAATGATTACATTTGCTCTTCTTCAACAGCTCACCCTCTGTCAAATTCCCTTTCTTATACTAAACTCTCAGATTCTCATACAGCCTTTATTAACTCTATTTCCTCTCACTTTGAGCCTTCTTCTTTCTCTGAGGCATCTCAGCTCCCAGAATGGCAGACTGTTATGGCAGCTGAACTTTCAGCACTTGAGCTCAGCAAAACATGGTCTACTGTATCCCTTCCTTCAGCCAAACATGTAGTTGGCTGCCGTTGGGTTTATAAGGTTAAATACAACTCCGATGGCTCCCTTGAAAGATATAAAGCCCGTTTAGTGGCTAAAGGATTTACTCAACAGGAAGGGGTTGATTACATGGTACTTTTTCTTCGGTTGCCAAATTGACAACTGTACGAGTTCTTCTTACTCTTGCTGCCATACATAATTGGACCCTTGTTCAACTTGACATCAATAATGCATTTCTTCATGGGCAATTACTTGAAGATGTTTATATGCATTTGCCTCTTGGGTACACTGTTCACCACTCCCCTCTTCCTCCTAATGCTATTTTCCTTTTTCACAAATCCCTTCATGGCCTCCGTCAAGCTTCCAGGCAGTGGTTTGCCAAGTTCTCCTCTACTTTGTTACAACTTGGATTTCTTCAATCCCAGTCTGATCACTCCCTATTTGTTTGTTCTACAACTTCATTTTTTATTGCTATTTTAGTTAATGTTGATGATATAATTGTTGCTTCTAATAATCATCATGAAGTGCAGCTCCTTACTGCCACATTACATAGCACATTCAAGTTAAAAAATCTTGGGTCCTTGAAATACTTTTGTTAGAAATATATTGTAATTAGGGTTTCCTTATTTTGTATTAGGTCAGATTACATTAGGTTTGGGCTTAGCCCATTAGTCTGTTTATATATTGTACAACCTTCATCAGTCAATACACACAGAAATATTTCAAATGTTCCTTTCTTTTCTCTTGTTATTTAACATGGTATCAAAGCCTCGCTGCCCCCCACTTTCTCTTGTGGACTTTCTTAGCACAGGTAGGCTGGGCCTGTTGCATCTTCCACTCTTCAAGCCCAATGGGCTCTCGTGTGAGGGGGCGTGTTAAGATATATAGTCCCGCATTGGTTGTATGTGCAACTAATGTGGAGTTTATGAGGCTTTGGGCACTCCCACCCTTTGAGCTAGCTTTTGGGATGGTGACCTCAAGGTAGTATAGAAGATTGGTTGGAAAATTGAACTACCTCACAGTCACTCGGCCTGATATTTCCTTTGCAGTTAGTGTTGTCAGTCAATTTCTCAATTCTCCATGTCAAGAACATTGGAATGCAGTCATTCGTATTCTTAAGTATATCAAGGCATCTCCAGGGAAAGACCTTGAATATGAAGATAAAGGTCATGATAAAGTGGTTGGCTATTGTGATGCTGATTGGGCTGGTTGTCCAAATGATAGGAGATCTACTTCTGGGTATTGTGTCTTTGTTGGAGGCAACTTGATTTCCTGGAAAAGTAAGAAACAAAGCGTAGTTGCCAGATCAAGTGCTGAAGCAGAATACCGCTCCATGGCGACTACTACTTGCGAGCTCATCTGGCTTAAACAGCTTCTCAGAGAACTTAAGTTTGGAGACACTGGACAGGCAACTCTCATTTGTGATAATCAAGCAGCTCTACACATTTCATCAAATCCAGTGTTTCATGAAAGAACCAAGCATATATAAATGATTGTCACTTTGTTCGAGAAAAGGTTCTTGCTGGTGAAATTAAAACTAGCTTTGTACCCTCTAATAAGCAATTAGCATATGTGTTTACAAAATCTTTGAGGGGCCCTCGAATAGAGTTTATATGTAACAAGCTTGGTGCATATGACCTATACGCTCCAGCTTGAGTGGGAGTGTTAGAAATATATTGTAATTAGGGTTTCCTTATTTGTAATTAGGGTTTCCTTATTTTGTATTAGGTCAGATTATATTAGGTTTGGGCTTAGCCCATTAGTCTGTTTATATATTATACAGCCTTCATCAGTCAATACACACAGAAATATTTCAAATGTTCCTCTCTTTTCTCTTGTTATTTAACAACTTTCTTGGCCTTGAAGTTGCTCGCAGTACCAAAGGCATATCTGTTTGCCAACGTCACTATGCTTTGGAGATTTTAAAGGATTCTGGTCAGTTGGGTTGTAAGCCTCATAGCACCTCCATGGATATTGGTCTCAAGCTTTCTATCGCTGATGGTGACCTTCTCCCTGATCCTTCTTTGTATCAGAGACTTATTGGTCGTCTTCTTTATCTTACAATTACAAGACCTGATCTTTTCTTTGTTGTTAATCGTTTGAGTCAATTTATGGCTACTCCTCGGGTCCCTCATCTTCAAGCTGCACACAAGCTCCTTGGATATGTTAAACATACCGCTGGCCAATGACTATTTTTCTCTCCCACATCTCCTATTCAATTGAATGCATTCTGTGACTTAGATTGGGCTGCTTGCCCAGAAACTCGTCGTTCAATTTCTGATTTCTGCATCTTTATTGGTGATTCTCTCATATCCTGGAAATCTAAGAAACAACACACTGTGTCCAGGTCTTCTACAAAGGTAGAATACAGGTCTATGGCCAATGTCAGATGTGATCTATTATGGCTGTTTTCACTCCTCAAAGACCTTCATGTTTTACATCCAGCTCCTGCGCATCTCTTTTGTGACAATCACTCTACTCTTCACATAGCAGCTAACTCGGTCTTCTATGAGCGCACCAAGCACATTGAGATTGAATGTCATCTTGTTCGCAAACACATTCTCAAAGGACGCTTGCAGACTTTTCCTATCCCTTCCTCCAAACAACTTGCTGATCTACTTACCAAGCCCATGCTTCTCTCCAAATTTGATGTTTTGGTGTCCAAGATGGGTGTTTTGAACATCCACTCTCCATCTTGAGGGAGGCTATTAGTATACATTTTTTTTTTTAATTGTGATTGTAACCACTTTTCCACCTCTTTGGTATTTTGTATTGTTATTTGTCTCACGCACGTTTCTGTTAGGAGGATAGTGTTGATTTGCACATTCTGTTAGGAGGGTAGTGCTCTTTTTGCACCTTTCTGTTATGGCTCTTTACCTTGTATATATTTCACTTCTGTATGCAACTTTTAATCAAGTAATGAAAAATGAAATTCAATTTTATCGTTCTCTTCCTACTGTGGTTTCTGGTTCATCATAATTAACAGGGGGAATAGATTTTATATATATTTATGTATATGTAAAAATTAAAATTTTATCTTTTATAATATGTGAGATATTATATCCCTTGTTTTTATTACCCGTTTGCCTTAAAAAAAAAGGGAAAGGGGGATATGGGAGTAAAAATAATTGTTTCAGTGTTAAATATAAGAGGAAAGTAAGGTCATTTTGGTTGAGGATATTTGTAGGAGGGGAGTTGGAAATTTAGCGGATAAAAATGCGCCACGTACTACTATACAGAACCCAAACTCGTAAATATTGATTAAAAAAATATTAAAATGGTCTATGCAGGCAAAAAAATTAATTTATTTTTTTTAATAAAAAATTACGAAAATGTAGTCATTTTGAAATTAATTACAAAAATAGAGTAGTCAAACACGCCCACATGGGGCGTGTTCCAATAAAGAGAAACACGCCCATGTGGGGCGCGACCTAAGTGTGAGTCACGCGCACATGGGGCGTGACCAAGTTGGAGAGAGACACGCCCCATTTGGGCGTGTTTCACCAGGTACTGCCACGTGTCACAAAAGTCAATAATTTTACCGTAAAACTTTAGAAGTCCATAACTTTTGACTCGGGTATTCGAATTAGGTAATTTTTTTTTATTCCACATAACTTTTCGAGAACTACGTAATGACACCTCATTTGGCATATTTTGTCTCTCACAAAAAAAATTGAATTTACAACAATGATACCATAATTATTAAAAATGACATGACTTTGTTACCTTATAATTATTACTAAAAATAATCTAACATTTTTATAATCATGAACAAAAACTTAAAAATCAAAATAAAACAAAAAGCACTCACTTAACTTTTTAATATAAATTATTCGATATTCTGTCACCGACAGATGTTAATCGAATAAAATTATAAATTTCATAAATTTCTTCATTCAAATTTTTAATATATATCTCAATAACATACATAATTAACCTTATCATAACTTACCATAATCATAAGGATATTTATTATGAATGTTTCTAATCATGAGAGTGGTTTTCTGCTTATTAATTTGAGTTTAAATGTTCTTATGGTATTATTATTGTAAATTCAATTTTTTTTGTGAGAGACAAAATATGCCAAATGAGATGTCATTACGTAGATCTCGAAAAGTTATGTGGAATAAAATTTTTTTTACCTAATTCGGATCCCCGTGTCAAAAGTTAGGGACTTCCAAAGTTTTACGGTCAAATTGTTGACTTTTGTGACACGTGGCAGCACCTAGTGAAACACGCTCAGATGAGGCGTGTCTCTCTCCTCGGTCACGCTCAGATTGAGCGTGTCTCTCTCCAACTGGTCACGCACTCACGCCCCTTTGTGGCGTGTTTCACTGCTGTATTTTCGTAATTAATTTCAAAACGACTACTTATTCGTAATTTTTTTATTAAAAAAGCAATAAATTAATTTTTTTTTTTTGGTCTATGCATCATATGATGCATCGCATTTTCCTTCTACGTTACTTTTTATGGCATTGGAACTTTTATTTTATCAAGACACTATTAAAATAACAAATCATGTAAGTTTTTTTTACGAGAAATATATTTTTCATATTGCACGACATAAAATTATTTCATATAATATATAAAAAAGTAAATGAGACTTATAAAATACTTGTTTGAGAGTTTTTTTTTTAGTTTCTCTTTTTCTTGTAAGCAAAAGTTAAACCAAATTGTTATAAAAAAAAAAAAAAAAAGTTAAACCAAATATATTTTTATAAAAGTTTTTATAATAAATTTTCTTATAGTAAAAAAAAAAATCAAAAGTTAAAAGCTTATACAAACAGCTTTTAAGCTAAATATTTTTATATAATCATTAAATAATTTTTAACTTTATTTTTAATTTTTTTTAACTTTAGCTTAAAAATAATTTTTAGCTTAAAAAATATGTCAAACATGTTTTAAGGAGAAAAAAAAGAAAAATTAAGTGGTTCTCATTCACTTTTTATAATATGTACATGAAACATTAGAGACATATTTATCTTTATCTTTTTTTTTTTGGTAAATAATATTTAGAGGCAAATTTTAGGAAAGATTTAAAATTTTAATCTTGAGATACTCTAAATCAGACTAGTCGTGAAATGATAAATCGATTGGAATATTTAAAAAATATTGTTATCACATGATGTTAGATCTATTATTAATTTACAATAACGTAAAATTATCAATAAGATCAATCAAATAAATTTTCAAATAAACATTAAACACAACCCTTGATAAAAGGTCAACAAATTATTATTTTACAACAGCCTGCAAGCCACGAAAACATCAAACTAGTTTAATACAGGGAGATAACAAAACCCAAGAATGAATCAAATGAAAAGAATCCAAATGCTGCGCTGCAGCAACGTCCCCGAAGCTGGTGATTCCAATTTCTCTTGTGTTTTGGACAATTGACCCCTCAATCAAGTTTCAAAATTCCCACCCTGTGCCCCAATCCTTCTTCTACTGAATCCAAAACACTGCCACAAACCAAACCTTCGTTATTCTTCTTCTCCAAACACTGCACCCTCGTGCACCGCATTTCGAGCAAGCGACACCGTTTTTTCAATTCTCTTTCAATTCGATTCTGGTGAGTCCAATTTCTCAATTTCCTCTTTCTATTCATTATTTCTTCAACACAATTGGCTTCACAACACTCTGTCCCACACTACACTCAAAATGGATCTGTTTTTACACGTAGATTTCTCATTGATGTTGTCAACATATAATGTAGAATTTTTGGGTTGTGTTCAGATGTCTAAAGATAATGACGTGGAAAACCCTAATAATAACCCCAATGTTGTTCAAAAGGGTCTGAATCTGAATCTGAATCTGAATGATAGTGATGGAACATGGTACACTTCAATTAAGCAACAAATTTCAGTCTATGGTGTAGCTGGTGGATATTGTTTATCTGCATCATTGCTATCTATTATTAACAAATGGGCTGTGATGAAATTCCCTTACCCTGGTGCCCTAACTGCATTACAGTACTTCACCAGTGCTGCTGGTGTTTTCCTTTGCGGGAAGCTCAAGTTCATTGAGCATGATTCTCTTCATTTATTTACAATGTGGCGGTTCCTTCCCGCGGCTATAATCTTTTACCTCTCACTTTTCACCAACAGCGAGTTGCTCCTCCATGCCAATGTTGATACATTTATTGTGTTCCGGTCGGTTGTTCCTCTTTTTGTTGCGGTAGGGGAGACTTTGTTCTTGCATCAGCCGTGGCCCTCGGCAAAGACGTGGGCCTCGCTGGCTACTATCTTCGCCGGGAGCGTGCTTTATGTTGCTACGGATTATCAGTTCACGTTCATGGCTTATACCTGGGCGGTGGCGTATTTGGTTAGCATGACCATTGATTTTGTTTACATAAAGCATGTGGTTATGACCATTGGTTTGAACACTTGGGGACTGGTATTGTACAACAACCTTGAGGCTCTTCTGCTTTTTCCACTGGAATTGCTAATAATGGGTGAGCTGAAGAAGATTCAGCATGAGATCTCTGATGAGTCTGATTGGCACTCGTTCCAGGTAGTCTTGCCTGTTGGATTGTCTTGTTTGTTTGGTCTGTCGATCTCTTTCTTTGGATTTTCTTGTCGCAAGGCGATTTCTGCGACGGGGTTTACTGTTCTTGGTATAGTGAACAAGTTGTTGACGGTTGTGATTAATTTTGTGGTATGGGACAAGCATTCGACATGGGTGGGTACAGTTGGGCTTTTGATTTGTATGCTAGGTGGGATTATGTATCAGCGGTCAACAAGCAAACCGAAGGCTGCAAAACAAGCAACTGCGCAGGAAAATGAGGAGGAACAACACAAGTTGCTTGAAATGCAAGTCAATTCAGAGAGCAAAATCAATGAAGATGAAGTTAATAAATCAAGGGAGGAAAACTGAAATTATGTTCATGTAGGAAATTTTTCATATTTCTTTTCTAGTGTATGTCTGTTTCTAAGGTATCTGATATAAATTATAAACATTATTTACCAATGCTTTCTCCATGAATGGCAAGCTCATTGGCATTCCGGCATGTAGGGTTTAATTTACGTTTAAGTGACCATTATGTTTTAGTAAAAACTATTCATTAAGTCTTTGATAAGATAAAATGTTTCTTGATTTGGTCCATTTATATTTAAGCTTTTCAACTGAATCATTTTATATTCCAATTCTCAATTTGTTCTTTTCTTGCTTTTGATGCTTCAGATTTAGACTCTGGAAGAATCGTAATATTGTTCTCTCCAGTCATGTGTTTCTCTGTCTCTTTTTGTTATCAGGGATCTAAGATGCTTACACTTATGACTGTATCTAAGAACCATCTCTGTTCATGTAAATTTATTTGATAGGGATCTGACATTTATTATTTTCTTCAATGAAAATTCTTGGTTCCTGCTAATTATTAGGGGGACCCTTGACCAGTTGGTAGGATTATTATATGTTGGATGAATCTGGATACATAACATAATGTTCAATTATTGGGGAGGAGTACTACTAATTAGGGTTACAATAGTGATGTCCAGAATATTATCTTATAATTTTTAATTTCAAAAGAATCCATGTTTTCCTTTAAGAACTAATCAACTAGGCTGAGAAAAGCAGAGCAAGCTTGATTTCACCATGAATGACTTGCTCAATGGCCTTCCAGTACATAGATAGTGTTTTGCTCTGTAATGACAATCAATGACTTACGAACATTACCTTTTCTGCATCATTTCTTCTCACAATGCCTTGTTAGAATTTACTGAGTATACGTGTTTCATGCCCATTGTCCTTTTGAATTAGACTTTGTAAAGTAAGTAGTGTTAAAGATGGTTTTGTCCAGGTTGGACACATATATGCCCGACTTTGTTCTTATACATAATCAATTCTAGACCAGTTCATAAGGTAATGGTGTCGAAGCATTTGGCATATTTTGATACAACCAAAACTCCAAGATTACCCTTGCAGCTATGAGAACAAATGATGCATCTTTGTAAGAGAGGGGATTGAGTACAGTAGAAGACTGAGAAAAGCTTTCTTTTCCCAACATGCTTTCTGTTGCTCCCCCAAAGTGCAACTCTGGTGTCACCTTCAATGTTTCATCCCTTGTGTAGCAGTAAGATTTTTCCCAGTGGGTTTCTTCTTCTTCTTTTCATTTTCATTCTGCGATATTAATGTCATTTGCTTTGTGATTTTGTTTTATTGTGGTTCTAGATTAGGTTATTGCTAAGTTTTATTGCTGGAGATTGTTTCGTGCTCGCGTGAAATCAATTTCTTTGCTCCGAGAATGCTTAAAGAATTGGTTTCCATGATCCTGCACAAATAGCTTTAGGCTCCTCTTAATATAAGATTTGGTGTAGTTTGCACTAGCTTCTGTGATGTAATTGAAATTAGAATATATATAGTTAGCCTTAGCTCTTGCTCTTTGAATTTTAATTACGCTTAGACTTATGATTGTTTTAGCTCATGCTTTTTGTTTTAAACCGTATCTATTCTGTATTTAATAAAAAAACAGATCGATTAAAATACTGTTCTAGTTGATCTAATAATACTGAAGTTCATATGTTGGTGTTGATGGTTTCATGATGAGGAATTGATTATATTAAAAACTTACAGCCCTTGATACAAAGGTTGGACTTATAAACCAGGCAGTACAGGGGCCCTAGGTTATTGTTGGATTGAAGTACTTTGGCAGATTTAGGGTGTGCATGACAGCTTTCTCGGAATTAATTTTTTTTTTTTTAATTTCTATTTTTGGGAACAGAAATGGATAGAAAACTCGTTTGGTAAAATCGGTTTATTTTTTTGTTTCCGGGATGAACCGGATTAATTTTTGTGACGGGGAACAGAAAAAAGAATAAGAAAATTTCTGCTTTTTTGTTCCCGGGCACAAAATGAGAAACAATTATCTCTCTTAATCACTCTTCATCTCTACCATCATCGCCACCACCACCATCATCCTAATACGACCATCGCCACCGTCGTCGTCGTCGTTGTCGTCGTCGTCGTACCACTAGTGCTGTCGTGACCACCCCCCACCACCACGATGCCACCGCCACGATAACCACCATCTCCACCCATCACTATCACAATGCTACCATCACCACCACCACAACAACCACCGCTGCAACTGCCACCACCATTATCACCTTCACCGTCACCACCACCATCACCACTACCGCCATCAATCACCACCACCATCATTTCAATCACTGTTGCCACCATCACCACGCCACTGCCACCACCACCATCGCCACCACTACCACCACCACAACACCACCGCTACCATCACCACCACTGTCACCAACCACCACTATCATTGCTGCAGACAGCATCGATACCGCCGTCGTCACCGCCACCAACCACCACCACCATCGTCACAGCCACTACCGTCACCACCACCACCATCACCATCGCCACCATTACACCACCACCGCCACCATCACCACCACCGCAGCCACTGCCACCACCACCACGCCACTGCCACCGCCACCGCCACCACCACAACGCCACCGCTACCCTCACCATCACTGTCACCAACCACCACTATCATTGCTGCAGACACCATCGACACCGCCGTCGTCGCCGCCACCAACCACCACCACCATCGTCACAGCCACTACCGTCACCACCACCACCATCACCATCGTCACCATTACACCACCACCGCCACCATCACCACCACCGCAGCCACTGCCACCACCACCACCACCTCCACGATGCCATCACAACCACCACCACTTTGTCACCGCTACCATTGTTGCCGCCACCAACCACCATCCCCACCACTATTGTCGCAACCACTGCCGTCACCTCCACCTCCACCGCCACCATCCCCACCACCACCGCTGCCGCCACCATTACCATCACAGTCACTGCCGTCACAACCACCACCACTATCATCACCACGTCACTGCTGCCACCACCGCTGTACCGTCGTCGCCACCATCACCATCATGCCACCCCTCGCCGCCGCCACCACCACAACCACACCATATGGAAAGGAAAGTGATGATCCAAAAAAAAATTATATTTAATTGGAATTATTTTTTATTATATTATTTGTTATGTTATCAAACGCAATTCTTATTCTCAGAATAAAAGTAGAACATATTATCAAACACATTTTTTTTCTCAGAAACTGGTCCAAGGAACAGAAATAGAAAAGAATTGTTTCTTTTCAGAAACAGTGCTAGGGAATAGAATGGTTATCATGCACACCCTTATGGTCCCATCTCTTTGTGAGAGTGAAATGACATAAGTCGTGTCATTTAAAAAGACAAACACTTTTTTCATAAATAATATTTAACAATGGGGAAGGATCCGTTTACAAATTTTTTTTACAAATTTTTGCAAATTACACTATGTACCTCCCGGAAGAACATAGTGTAACCTAGTGTTCTCTCGGGAGAACATAGTGTAGTTTGTAAGAGTTTCTAAACAAAAGCTTTGTAAATATAACCCTCCCTTTCACAATAACCCAAAACCTCTGGTGCAAGCATAACCCCAATACCTTTTATTTCTCACATTGCTACTTCCTTCCTCTTTGGAGAATCTCGAAATCTGAATTCGAACTTGAATATTTCCTAATCAAACGATGGGAAATGGAGACATGAGTTTCATGGATGGCAAGCTCAACAGCTGGTAAAGCATTATTGTTTTAAGAAGCTAAAGTGGCCATTCGATAATTTTGTTGAGTTGGTGGCAAACACGACTTGAGAAGATTTTGTAAAATTCACTGATTTAACTCAAACCGGGACTAGGATTAGGATCGAAATTGTAAGATTCATTGATTTATTAAAACTCACGTCGTGAATTAGGGTTAGGATCAACATCGTTACTACTTACTAGGTTGTGATTCAGAATTGTTACCTGAGAAGTGTTAGTAAGATTTCACTGGTTTGTAAAATTGCTTTCTTGCGTTTCGTGTCATAAAACTTCAAACCATGGTTGTAGGATTAACACTTTACCCGAGCCAGTTTTATGCTATATTCTCTCTTTTTTGCCAATCAAAGTAGTTGTTATTAACAGTGTTCTCTCTAAGAGGTGGAACCCACTTTGGCGCTCAGTTTTCACTCTCCAATTTGATTAAGTTGAGGAATTAGGCAAACAAAAATTTACTTAATCTGTGTACTCAATTATCCTCTCGCGAGATTTGCAGCAATCCTCCGAACATTTCGTACATAAATAAGGTACTAAAACTGTTTATTTGTAAATACTTTACATTTTTAAGGACAATGGGATTTCTGATATTTTGTTATTGTAACTCTTGCATATGGATAATATAATAACCTGTATGAGGAATTAAGGATTTTGCCTGAATTAATGTGATTAATTAGATGAGGGATCTAATTAATTAGTTAAAGTCACTCTTTAGCGAAAAGTGAAATTACAGTGAGGTTTGCGGTAAAATACAATTATGTAAAATCATCGAAAACTTTGATGTAAATTAGTGATTTGCTAATTTATGAGATAAAAGAGATAAAAGAGAATGTCACACATTATAATGTTGAGTCATGGCTAGATCAATTAAATTAAATGAAGAAACGATGCATGAGTAAATATCTAGTTGTTTTTAAGTTAATAGTATTTTAGTACAGTGGTGAGGAGAAGCACAAATAAAATTTTTAAATTAAAAAGCGAAGGTGATGCTTGGGTAACGGATGCTGCTGAACTGAAAGAAATGGCTATAAACTATTTCAAGGGTCTTTTTCATGAAGATGTTTTGGAGAGAAGATGGATCATTTCTGATAAGCTTTTGCCTAAGCTTTCGGTTTTGGAGAAAAATGAGCTGGATAGATGTCCAAATGATTTAGAAATTAAGTAAGCTTTGTTTAATATTGGTGCTTTGAAGGCACCAGGGATTGATGGTTATCCTGCAATTTTCTTCCAGAGGAATTGGGGTCCGATTAATAAGCAAGTTTGCTCTCTGGTCTATCAGATTTGCAGTTATCCGAATTTATTGGCTTCCATTAACTCTACTCTTATGGTGCTCATTCCCAAGGTGCAGATTCTGATGCACATTAGTCAGTTTAGGCCTATTTCGTTGTGCCCTGTGGTGTATAAAATTATCAGTA